AGCGATAAATAGCAGAAGACACAAGGTGCCACAATGCGGATGAGGATCACCCGTAGAGAGGTCCCAGAAACTCCCTTCAGCCGTTATGCCATATTTATGGCCTGGTTATATTCAGGGTCTCCGGCAAAAACCAGGGTGGGGCTTCGAAATAACAAAAAATTGCATTCCACTAGGGGACGAGATGGGTCCAAAGGTTCGTCTTAAGACTCTGTTTTCGAAAATATGTATAGAGGCTTCATCTCTTTAAGTTGTGCTTCAAGTTTCAGAGCCTTATAAAGCAACTGGTCTTATCAACGTTCTATTTATTTTGATCTTGGCGCTGTGAGACAGACACTTTGACTTTTGCAGATGTTGAAGAGAATGTCTCTGATCAGTTTATGATATTTGCTCAAAAAACATATGTCGTGAAAAAAAAACTGTTTTGGTGTTTCCTCTTTTTGTCAGCTCATGATATACTTTGCATGTTTTTCAGATACCAAATATTCGATGCTGTCCGAAGTGTTTCTTTTTGTCTGCTTATTTTTAATCTCTCTCTCTCTCTCTCCCTGTCTCTGTTTCTGTCTCTCTCTCTCTCTCTCTCTCTCTCTTTTTTTTTTTTTTTTATACACACACACAAACACAATATAGGTGGGGTGACCATAATATCTTGATTTGAATACGGGGCATCCTACTTATATTGTTTTGCTCAAAACGGGACATTATACACAAATTCACAAATGTTGAATTATTTGCAGCTATTTCTGTGAGTGCTTAAGAGTTTAAAAACACTGTAACATTAACGCAGTAACATATTAATAGCGTCAGTGTTCTAAACTTTTTAAAATAAATGACGCTTCTGATTTATAATTGCTTAAAACAAGACAACATTTTTTAATTATATCATGGCTGAAATATCTTGCTAACCACTGACCCGTGCAAATTGTAACTGTTTCAGAGTTTGTCAATGACAGTTCAAAGTGACAATTGTCTAAACACACCCAAATTTGTGTAATTATAACGTGGCTGGAATATCTTGCTAACCACTGACACGTGCAAACTGTAACTGTTTCAGAGTTTGTCAATAACAGTTCAACCGTCTATTGTAAATGGGAATTTGATCGGAAGTCTCGCTGATTACATGTAAGTTATACCTCTCCTTGTTTGTAAAGTTCATACAGTGATTTGTTTTTTCTTAAATAAATGATTGAAACACTCTAAATGGCAAAGTAAATATATCAATATGTCTCTCTGTTTTGGTTAGTAGGTTAGTTGTTTTCAATTATTATTTCTAAATGGGCTGAAGATGGTGACGGATTGCTAACAGGGTGTCCCGAGTATTGTGAAATCGATTCTTGATTCAAAATATTTCAAAGTGGGTATTGGATGCGCTGCAAGAAAATTTCAATGTGAAGACGGCACAAACGTCTTTGTTTGCAATTACCTAACTCACCGAACGGTTAGAACGCTGGGATCTCAAGCAGGAGACTCGGGTTCGAATCCTTGGAAGGCCTGGTGATTTTACTGTCGGGGGCAAAATAAAATCCTCACCTGCACAATCGTGACGACAGCACTAGCCATGCAGCCGTAAATCCACAGGCTGAAAGACCCCCCTACCTACACCGCAAAAGTGGTATAATAAAAGCAGTAATTGGCAGTTTGGCACCTATCTAAAAAAAAAAAATCCCTCTAACATTATTTTAGCACAGTGTAACACAGTCTGCAATCGGCGTGGGCTGCATGTGCGATAGGCTTGGCTAGAAGGTTACGATGGATCACAAACAGTTCTCGTGTTTATATCAGGGCTACCATGTGTCCCGAAAAATAACACGTGATCTTAAATTAATTTGTGTCCGAAAGACGAATTCGGGCTTGTTTCAGAGAATGTTTTTTTTTTTTTTTTTATTTATGTATAAAAAGGCGACCCTTGGAATATTTAATTATAATTTTATTATCATTATTTTATGCAATAAAGTTAAAAAAAAAAATATTTATGTATACATTAATTACTTCACGTCCGACCTGTATGTAAACGGACGAAAATAATCCTGTTGGTATGGCTGATGACCTCAACCAGGGCTTATATTTGAGTCTGGACTTATATTCGAAGCATCTGAAAAAATCATGGTAGGGTTTATTTTCAGGTTAGGTCTTAATTGAGAATAAACACGGGACTATCGATCGGATGGTTGGTTTGTCCCCTCCGGGCTGTTATGTGAAGGTAAGCCACACTGAGATTTAAAAAAAAGAAATCCTAATCCGGACAGCAGTCCAGTAGGGCAGATAGTAGATATTCGGTGCAACCTCAAAAGAGGTTATAATTATGGTTCCTTCAACGCTACACCAGCCAGATGTAGCATGTAATGCAGTGCGAGTAAAGACAAGCTATTGTGTGTGGTTTGTCCCCTCCAGGAATGCAATCTGCAGGATAAACGTCTCAAGGATGAGCATCATGCACAAACAAATCCCGAAGCCCTTTTCCTGCAAGCCAGTTATAAAGAATTAATCAAGCAACACAAAATGTATTGATCGGCACTCATAGAAATAAGTAGAAAGATAGAAGAACACTAGACAACATACAAAATCGAAAGCTATAGTTACCGTGCCAGGAATTGATTGAACCTGACACCTTCAGACAGTTATAATGAGGACCCCGGCGGCTAATACGGTGACCTCAAGTCCGGGCCGGAAATTACGGAGATATTGTTTGAAGCGGGCTGATAAACTGTCCCTCTTTGAGACTGACTGGGACGACTAAATGAATCTAATGATGGCCAAATCGGCAACCACCTAGGCTACAGTGCGTTCCAAACATCGTGCCCAAATTTACAAAACTGTGACTCAGTAACCATTTGGGTAGGTTTGTTTTTTTAAATTTGGCATGCAACCTGCTTAAAATCATGTTCTTATAGGAACATAAATGTAACGTAAACAAACTTTTTTTTTCCTTCCTCCTTTTTTATTGCGGTAAATTAAAATAAAGACACTGATTCGAATTCACACAGTTAGCATGGTTACAGTTAATGAAGTAACACGAAATTTACAAAACATGAAGTTGCAAGCGCTTTAGAAGTATTCTAAAACAACGGGACACTTATTTTGAATAGTTAAAGTATATTCTTTTCTTTAGGGGGTGTACACATTATTACTCTGAAAAAAAAATCAAAGAAATTAGCCGCTTTAAGAAAACTGCAGCACCTGTGCAATTGTACATTACAAAATCATAACGACACAAGAATTCAAAGACCAGATACAACATCTCGTATTGATCCTCACAGACTGACTGACTGACTTTCTACCCCACCAGAACATCACACAAGCGATAAACACCCGATGACACAAAGTGCAACCATGTGGGTGAGGATCACCGTGGAGAGGTCCCAGAAACAGCGTTCAGACAATTGGCCATATTAATGCGGCCCCTATCAAAAGCCAGGGTGGGGCTTCAAAGAACAAAAAATTGCCTCCTAAAAAACTCGCAACAGTTGTAATCTATTTCACAGGAATTTTTGAGATTTTGTTTCAGTTTGAGGGCACAACATTTAGAACTCAGTAAAGACTGGGGAAGCGGCAAGTAAAAAGGGCTGAAGCCAGACAAAAGTGCAATGCATGGAACTGAACATAAAGTAAAGTAACACAGAGTTGTTATTGTCAGCTGCTACAACAGCGGTTCTCACCCTTTTGGCCGCAACCCTTTTGTGGGTCCAGCGACACGTTCACTGAAGTTATGAAGTAGCAACGAACATAATTGTATGTTTCGGGTCGCCACAACATGTGGAGCTGTATTAAAGGGTCGCTTCATTAGTAAGGCTGAGAACCACTGTGCTACAGGCGGGCAATATATTCAGAATACGATCCAAGAACTTATGAACTCAATGAAGTTGATCTGCCGTAAGAATGATCCCGTAAGTTCTGATCCTGGAAAACTTGTTTCCTAACGCCAGCGGGTCCTGACAGTCGCACTCGCTATCGCCATGGGTTATTTCCATGTCTTCATACAAGACCATTTTGTCCGGGTCAGTCTCCCAAATGCCCAGCCTGGCCGCCCGACTACCCGAAGGATATTACGTCGGTAATCCAGACTGAACGGGGAAACCGCAGATTTTTTAAGATGGCATTGCCGATTGGGTTTCTCCCGTGACTTGGTTATGACCGATCCCGGGCTCTTTTGGCAAGACCAGTGCAGCTAAGCTACACTTTGATCTTAGCCAAAAGGCCGAGAAGTAAACAATGACTGTCTATGTCTAGTTGTTCATACAACACCATATAACACTATCGGCCGGAAAGACGGAAAGGTGCTATAAGACAAAAGTCTACATATTTGTAATGTGCTTATTTCAGGACAGCGTATAAGGTAAACATAAATATGATGTATTTTTTTTTAATATTATTTTTCTTTGATTTCCAGCTTTAACGTTGACGTCATAAGATCCGACATTAGCGAGATTAATGTGAGTATTATTTTAACTCGATTTTTATACATCTTTATTTCTAGCCTATTTTGACTTCGCTTGTAAGACCCATGAGTCGCCATGGCGTTGGCGGCTAGAGGCCGTCCTGCGGCGGATCAAAGGTCGTGGGTTCGCGTTCTGACGGAATCAGACATTTAAAAAAAAAAGCCTTGACTTCCAGGTCGACCCAGCCTTGAGTGGGTACCAGGTTGGGAAGGAAAGGGGGCTGGTGTGATGCTGACCACATCACCAACCAAGTGTCGATTGGTCTATACAAATATAGGTCTAGCCCTAGTTTCCCAATACGCCTGAAGGCCGAGAAAAGGAACCTTTACTTTAAGTACCCACTTATTTCTTACTTTGACTTTCACCATTGTCTGTCCTCTTCCTTTCACATTTTAACTCCACCATTATGTATTTTTCTTCCTTTCATTCCCTATTCCAACATTCATCATTGTCATGTGCCGTACCGGCAAGCATAGGCTGTCATCCCTGATCTTCTCATACGATCTCCAGAATAACGAATCAGGTCAATGTTTTTGTCTCGCCATATCCATGCTGTCAGGCCATCCATATATTTGTCTCTTTGTGTTATTTTGGCTACCAATCCTACCAGTTATTAGCACATTCTCCAGTCCGTTTTGTCTCATAACGTGTCCAGTAAAAAATGATTGTCTACGTCTAGTTGTTCTAATATGTTTACTACGTCGCCTGTCTCGATGCCAGGAAAGTTGGGCAGGGGCCCACCACCATGAAGATGTGCACAGGATATTAGCAGCTTCTTGGGTAGGGAAGTGCGCCAGGCGGAAGAGCTGGGAAGAGGCCGAGTTTCTTTCAGGCAGACCGTAATAAGAGCGACGTTCTGAACCTGATACGTGATGATAGAGCATCTTTATCAGTATTCAACATGTACATTTTTTTCCAGTAAGTTACAGTATGATTTAACATAATAAAGACAACATTCATATCAAAATATACATATCCATTTGAATTCTGTTTTCTTATCGGCTTTTGTTTTAAAAAGGTTATTACCGGAGTTTCACAATTTCGACATACATGTTTGATTCAGCTGCAGGCGATTAAGCCATGTATGGCTTTACTCTGATTTCAACAGTGATGAGAGCGTTGGCCGTTCACTAAGCAATGCCGAACTAATGAATATAAAACTGCCCGTTAAAATCACAAAAGGCCAACAGATGCTGTAAAATGTAAATGAAATGCAACAAACATTTTTTACAACTGTCTACAGGAACAAGATCTGAACAAGCTGATTCGTGAAGCCATTGACCAAGTGGTTATTCCCGGGTTAAATGGTAGGCTTTAATGTCGTCTGCTTCAGTTGTCTGATAAAATCTTCAATCATTCAGGTGTCGTCTTCACAATGAAAATTGGTTACAATGGGTCTATAAAAGTCTTGGTCTTCCAGCCAATTTATCTCCGAGATCTCTCTACTTCTTGCTCGTTTGCCCTCAGCGCCCCCCCCCCCCCTTTTCCTTTTTTCCCCCTCCCCTCCTCCTCCTTAGACATTACCTTAAGACAAGCTACGCGGAGCGTGAGGTACCCTGATGGCTATATGTGTCATTTGTCCTTCCGGGCCGCCACCTGAATGTTTAACAACGTGTGGGTTCTGGGGCCCTATTATAGGGTAAATAAAAATAGACCTACTGCCTTCCTAAAAGCATGTCGTAAGAGTCGACTAATTGGCAGCTTCCTTCAAAGTCGGAGTGCATCTGCCTGAAAGGCAAAGAATCAACAGTCTGCACACAAATGAGTCAGATCTGTCAAACGAATACACACGCAACACCCAGGTTCTGAAACAGGAATGCAGTCCAGAAGTGGACGAACAACCAGAACTTACGCCAGAGTTTATAATCGATGAACGCAAAGAAGAAGAAGAAGAAGAAGAAGAAGAAGAAGAAGAAGAAGAAGAAGAAGAAGAAGAAGAAGAAGAAGAAGAAGAAGAAGAAGAAGAAGAAGAAGAAGAAGAAGAAGAAGAAGAAGAAGAAGAAGAAGAAGAAGAAGACACACTGAGATGGAAAATCTCAATCTGAATTTCATACCAGCATGGCAGAGATCCCAGATACCCCATTCAACATCCAGTAAATGTTAAAGCTGGGACATTAGTAACGGCTACAGCGGCTCGATGGTAGGGCTGGGACATTAGTAACGGCTACAGCGGCTCGATGGTAGGGCTGGGACATTTGTAACAGCTACAGCGGCTCGATGGTAGGGCTGGGACATTAGTAACGGCTACAGCGGCTCGATGGTAGGGCTGGGACATTAGTAACGGCTACAGCGGCTGGATGGTAGGGCTGGGACATTAGTAACGGCTACAGCGGCTCGATGGTAGGACTGGGGCATTTGTAACGTCTACACCGGCTCGATGAAGCCGGAAGTCGTGTGCAGTTATTAAAATGTTAGGCATCATGGGTGTTAGGTATTTAAAATAGCAGCCACTCTAGACGTGACAGGAAGATGTAAAGTAACAGGGAGTTTTAAAGGTTTTGAACAACGGATCAACATCACGGCACACGGGTAGAAACCAGTAAGTGCTCCATTCTTTCTTCCAACTCAAGTCTGAGTCCGAAGAAGCTTAGCACAGTGCACAGGTTATGTAGCACCAGCGAGGATCCTGAAATACGTTTGGGTCGATTGGTAATATAAAATTTGGCCCGGGCAGTGCTGTTAGGCTATTCTTTTCCGATTTATACACAAAAGCGTCCGATCTCACAACCCTGAGACAAGTTCACGTGAAAAATGCCCAGCCCTTACCTGGGATTTAACCTGGAATCTCTAGCACTCGAGGCGGACACCGTGCATTGAGACCACGCAGCCACCCAGCAGAGTGCATGAATGCTGAATAATGTGCATGTAATTCAGAAAAGCAAACCTTGAAAGTTGCCGCTGTGGAAACCTTTAGGAATTTCTTTCTACTATATGTTTTTTACACTTTATTCATAAATTTTAACATCTTTACTTTTTTGTTATTCTGATAGAGTTTTTCAAAAAAGGCATCGCACTACCAGTTACTGGTATCTTCCGCCTTTACAACACAAAGCTGAATTTGCTGACAGTAAGTTGATTCTGTTGGTGACATTGTATTCCGTGTTGTGTAATTGTTTTTCTTCTTCCCGTTCACCAGCTGTAAAAAAAAAAAAAAAAAAAAAAGACAATACAAAGATTTCGACCATGCCAAAAGTCACAACACTCTTTTAATAATTATCGGAGAGAAAAGTCAAAAGCAAGAGATCAAGAAGAAGACATATAACAAGTGGGAGGATAACACCGAGAGATTGACGAACTGCACTCTGACAGAGTGTACTACCACAACAAAAGAGTTTGTAGAAGATCCATTGCAACTAACCTTCACGGTGAAGTAAGCACCTGGATTGACTGACTTCTAGACTGACTTTAACATGACATGAAATGGTCACTATCGTTTTTCGTCATTTTTTTTTTTTTTTAATTTTTTTTTTTTTTAGATAGTTTAAAGAAAATTGTTGAATAAGAAAATCAAACAATGAATCAGTCAAGAACCGACAACACTGCACTTGGGACATTCAGATACGTGCTCCAACCACTTCCTCCTGAGCCAATGACGAGTTCGCATACTGACGGTGCCAGTTGTAACGAAGGTAAAGGTCGCCTGTGTTTTTTCCCACCGAAAGAAGAAAGTCGTCTCTCCATTCTGCCCACTCCCGACTAAATCATCTCTCCAGTCATGCATGCTCTATTCTGTTGCAATTAACCTAACACATTTTAGATCTTCATAGTATTTCAAAGACCAGAATATAGATGGGTCATATCTAGGACCTAAACCATCCCTTTAAGTGTGCATATCTTAATTTCTTTTAATTAATAATTCCAGGGCTACCTTCAAGTGGCAACGGACCTGCAGTATTTGAGCTAATATACTGCTGGGTGTCCCTGGGTCAAATCTGAGATGTTCATCTGTGAAACCTAGGGGATATTTCAACATTCCACCTCACTGTGTAAACAGTTGAAATAACTATATTTCCCCGTTTTAAGATACTACGTTGACGACTGATTTTTAAAAAAAAACTTTTTCTTTTAAATATTGTTTCAACTACACGGACGCATACACACAGACACAATCGCATTCAAAAGTCCTTAATAAATATATATGTTACCTTATCTCATATGTAATATTTTCATAATCTTATGTGTGAACATGTGTGTGACGTATGAGTATGTCAGTATGTTAAGATCCATTTGTCCCTTGTACATATGTATATATTAGAATGTGAAGGTAGATGTGTGTTTATGTAAAATGTATACATTTCTTTGAAAATCGTGTGCATGAATGTTAGTGTGTGGACACTGATGTGCATCATGCTCATATATTTGAGTGTGACAGTCATAAACGTCGTGTGTGTCCATGTAACACTATGTATCTAATGACTGCGGTTCGGGACAGAAACGTGAATCTGGCCATAAGAGCTGCTTAAATTAACAGAGCAAGGAAATGTGATACAATAAAACAATCAATACACACTTCAGGTGTCCATCTAGTAGTTATCTTCTTCTTCTACCTTTCTAATCTCCGATGGAACATAGTTCTTCAATCAGCTCCTGCCAGATCGATCTGAAAGTTATAATTCAGCTATGAAATCCACAACTGACATAACCGGAGAAATGCTTAAAGCAGCAAATGAGAATACCTTACAACGTGAAGGTGAAATCTGGCGAAACGAATCCCTAACACAACAAACTGCCCAAAAAAGATGATTTGTCGATTGTAAAAACTCGTGTGGTATCACTTTGCCTTCGGTGACAGGAAAACTTTTCTGTAGCTTGTTACTTGAGAGATTGAAAAAAAAAGTCTATAGATGAAAGGCTAAGAGAAGAACAAGCAGACTTCAGACTAAAACGGTCATGCGTGGACCACATCTTTACCCTCAGAATAATCTTTGAAGAATTCGTAGAATTTCAGTTGCAATTATTCATCAACTTTGTAGACTTTCAAAACGCCTTCGACCGTCCTACACTTCGGAAACTACTGAAAATCTATGGTTTCCTTACCAAATTCATAACAGTCAAAGCATTTTTCTATAGTGAAACACGCTGCAGTGTAAGAACAGAATCCGGCAACTCTTACTGGTTCCCAGTGGAAACAGGAGTAAAACTAGGCCACGTAAAATCGCCGATGCTCTTTGGAATAACAATGGAGTAGGTCATGCTGAAATGCACAAACAACACAAACTTGGGCATCGAATGGATTGACACAATTTTTTAAGACCTCGACTTTGCTAACGACATAGTGCTTTTGAATTCAACACACACAGATATTCAAGGGAAAACAGACCTTCCCCAAAATATTTCAGGACAAACTGGTCTTCAAATTAACATAGCAAAACAACAAATGATTGATCTTACCAAAAGTTTAGAGAACATCAAAGTAAACAATGATATTCTTGAAAAAGTCGACAGCTTTACATACTTAGGGAGAACAATGACATCCTCAGGGGATTTAGCACCAAAATATCATTTAGACTCGCACTGGCATCAAATGCTTTTTCCAAACTGTCAAATATCTGGAAGTCAAAGACACTCAGCAAACACATACAACTTAAAATCTTCAACTCTTGTGTGATTCCAGTACTAACTTGTGGATGCGAGAGTTGGAAAGCAACAGTAGCGCTTGATGAAAAAAAAAATTAGACAATTTGGAGAACAGTTGTCTTATAAGAGTACTGAATCTCTGCTAGACATATTCCAGATCCAATACGCATCAGAGAAGGTTCAACAATGGGCCTAATGAATATCCAAGGCCTAAATCAGGATGCAACGAATCTGCAGACATGGAGAGCTATGGCCTCTGCTTTATGCGCCGCCTTAGGCTCAAGAGGAAAAACTAACTATGAAATTCAAAAATCAAGATCGGCGTCTCAAAATCTGATCGTCCGTAATTTAGGCGTATTTGCCCATGACATACTATTGATGGCAAACAATATGAATTAATATAATACAAAACTCCCGCCACCGCGAAAGATGAATGTGATGCTAGACTGGAGGGTTTGTTCTTATCCTGATTTTACAGGGGCTAAACGAGCTTTGACATTTGTTGTTACTCTCTGGGAATGTGCCACTCAATTCTAATTTCTAGCTGTGCTAACTGGTAACTAAGCAACAATCAACTTGACATAAGTTTAATCACAGTGCAGGGATATCTTCTGTTGATCTGTGATTAATTAAACCATGATTAAATAAACTTAAGTCTTTGGTGATTATCTAATTATGCTGAAGGGGAATCACCTTTGCTGGAAGCCGTCTGCGAGTTTCATACCTGGTCAGGTGTTTGCCGGCGTGATGCTGACCACATCACACATCTTGTGCTGATTGGTCTAAAAAAATATAGGTCTAGCCCTATATGCCCTATACGCCTAAAGGCGTGGAAAAGTGTCCTTTACTTTACTTTACTTTACTTTACTTTACTTTACTTTACTTTACTTTACTTTACTTTACTTTACTTTACCTGTCTTTGCGACAATTACCTAGATATTCGACCTGGATTTTTTTTAAACTTTTATTTTCTCTGAAATACTTAACTAGTTTCCTCAAGCAAAATCAACAGTCTTCGTTAGAGTACGCCACCGCAAATAGCCTTCTTAAGGGGTCACTACACGCCGTTTTTTCCCAATTAATGACCCCCCAAAAAATTACTTTTTCAATGTGTTCGCTTTTGTAAAGTTCGGCATGCGTAGAATAGATTAGACACAAAATTTATGTCATTTTTAAAGAATGTAGCATTGAATAGTTAATACTGAAGACACCAACCCATGCACATTTTTTAAGATAACAAAAAGTTTAAAAGTCAGTTTTCTCACAACTCTATATTTCTGTTTGTTGTGTGTGTGAAATCCTAAAATCTCAGCTAATGTAAAGACCAGAAACATGAACTTTTATATGGATACTCCTTAAACAATATTATAGGGACTATTCTACTTAAAAGTAGATTTTAGAAAGTTTTTTTTTTTTTAAATTTGATGGTTGTCTTATTATGCTAGATTTTTTTGACTTTTTCAGTAAACCTACATTTTAAAATTCTACGAAAAATATTTAAAAACATGTTCAAAGTAAATGCATGTGTAGCATGGGAGATGTGATTAACTGTCTCAATCGCACTTGTTCTGAGTTTTAGAAAGAATTTAATGTTAGCTTTTTGCTCACTCTGATTTCTTAACAATGCATCCCTGACCGGGTCAACAAAATGGCGGCTTGTTTGTGTGTGCTTATCGAGCGGCGATGAAAAGTTGCCAGATCATAGATGAATTTTGCCTCTTTAGATTCCATGCTTTGCTTCATAGATGGCTTTTTTTTTTTTTGTCTTGGCCATAATAAAATCAGTCTCATTACTTAATTGTCGGACCTTGTATTTTTTGCAAGTCTATCTGCTAACTCATTTCCTGGTATGCCGCAGTGAGCCGGGATCCACTGGAGAACGATTTGATTGTTTTGTGAGAGTCTGTTTAGCCGGCAGATCAGTTCTCTTTCCATGTTGTCTCGTGGATCCCTCTAAGTCACCTGGAGGACTGACGTGCAGTCACAAAGGAAAACAATTTTGCTGTTTTTTAAATATTTCTTTCCTCAAGCACTTTCGATGAATCAATAATAACTTTCTGATCTGCTTTGAAGTTTGTTGAGAGTCTTCCGAAGGCGCAAGACGTTTCTACTGTGGTCCCATCATGCAATTGACTGCTTCAGAGTTTATGACACCAAGGTTCACACACTGGCACAGATATAGGGAACGTTTATGGGCATCATGCTAAAACTTATGTCCACAATGTACATCAATGTCCCCTTCTTCTTCTTTTTCTTCTTCTTTTTCTTCTTCTTCTTCTTCTTTTTCTTCTTCTTCTTCTTCTTCTTCTTCTTCTTCTTCTTCTTCTTCTTCTTCTTCTTCTTCTTCTTCTTCATCTTCTTCTTTTTCTTCTTCTTCTTCTTCTTCTTCTTCTTCTTCTTCTGCTTCTTCTTCTTCTTCTTCTTCTTCTTCTTCTTCTTCTTCTTCTTCTTCTTCTTCTTCTTCCTCCTCTTTTTTTTTCTTTCCTTCCT